TGTGTGTGTGTATGTATATATATAGATAGATATACATATATATATAGATAGATATGTATATCTGTCTGTCTCACTCGGGCTGTGTGTCTATCTGTCTGTCTCTCTGTCTCTGTCACCGTATGTCTATGCGCGATGCATATGTCTTTGTGTGCGCTTTTGTGCACAGGGAGTATAACTCTATGAGAAGGCTGCGTCTTCTGCCCTTAATGGTCGAGGGAAGAGCTGAAGCGCGCGGAGCCGAGGTCCTCCACGGGAACCTCAGAGCTAAAGCCAAGGAGTAGCTTTTCGAGCTTTTGGTTTAAAACCCTAGCGACTTGGACGTGCCTAGGGCACGAGTAAGTGCGGAACGACAATCACAGGTGAGGAGATGCGGACGTCGAGCTGCACTTCGTCGGGGATCTGCTCATACACCTGCCGAGACAAAGTGGAGGCAGTCTGTATCTGTAGAATTCTGGAATTCACACACTTGCGATGCAAAGGGCTTGCGCTGTCTGAGTCTGTTCACCTTGTCCACAACCCGCTGTGACATTGGCAGGCTGTCCTCGCAGTTTCAGAAAAGATTGGCGAAAACTGCTGGGCTGTGAGCAGCCTCGTGGTGAATGAAACTAGTGCTTTGTCCCGCGCTTTCGTTCTAGGTCCTGGGAAGTGTCGTACGCTCCCTGCCATTGCGAAGGCTCCACATCCCTCTCGAAAAACCTCCGTTTCCAGTGTGGCAGAGTAAGTCCCAGCAAAAATGGCCCGTCAACCTCGATCGTAGGATCTTAGCTCGATGCTTCAGCAGTTGACTGAACATTCCCTGTGGCAAGCGAACCTGCAAAGACGCGTGCGCCAGATGTTGAAGGAGAATGTGTGCTTTCGGGTTGTTGTGGGTCAGAACTGTCGCAAGCAGTAGATGCGTCGTGCAAAGGCGCCTCCAGTGGCGCGAAGCTCAACTGCAACGTCAGAAGGTTGCGTGCGGGCCTGCGACTGACAGCCGTCGGAGTCCCAAATCGTGATCCGGCTGTGTAGCAGCACAACTCGGGCTTGTGCTCCAGGGTGTTTGCCAACACCTGCAAGGCAGAGAGATACGCTGAGCACTACGCTGAGCATGGCTTATAGCTCAGCCCCCTTTGCTGAGTCACGTTCGTAAGGCACCCACGAGATGCCCGGCCAAGTCTCCGGGCATCTGCTGGACCCTGATCGGCAGCGTGAGAGCATTCTGTCCCTGTCCCTTCTCGGCACAGACCTTGAAGCCATCTGAGAGCCTGTCTCCGATTGGCGAAAGTGTAGAATAATTCTGCCGGAATGCCGGGCCTTGGAACAATTGCTCGCCAAATATTGAGATTCCGCCGTTAAGACCCACTACCAGTAGGTCTCCATAGACATGCTTTTCGGCGTCTCCTGGCTCGAACCTGTAGCCTTGCAACCTGCAGGCTTTTTGACGCATGCCCAGCTGTTGCCCGTGTCCGCCGTCTCAGCTCAGGCCTTCAAACATGCGGAAACCACACATTCAAACATCTCAGTCTTCTACAGAACCATGCCCGCCTGTTCTCAGATACTTCACAGCCTGAGGTTGCACCTCAAACAGCACCAGTCCCTTCCCGACAGTCCGTAATCATTCCGTCATCCGTAAAGCATCTTGCCACATGGTCTGTAAAAGCTGAAAACTGAAAATTAAAAAGGGCTTGGCGTCGTTCGACAGCTCAGGATTTGTCAGTCTTTCGTTCTTTCTGAGTAGCTGTTGTTTTCGGCCTGTCGGAGTTTTTTTGACCTAGGGGTCTTGGCATGGTCGTATTGCAGCCCTCTCGCTTTGCTTTGGTTTTCCATGTGTGTTTGCATTAACGGTGGCTGTACCCGTGCGAAGTTTCTGGCAAACACAAGCGATTCGGCTGCTGGCTTGTGGCAATACGAGCCCACCAGAAGCACAGCACAACACACAACTATCATTAATGATGGTCACAAGGCGAAACCGCAACTACAGCATATTTTAGCGGGATGTCTATAGGAAAACCTTCAACCTGGCTTTGCGCATTGATACACTGGAGTGCTTCCAAGTATTCCTGCTCTACAGAAGCCGCACAGAGGATGGCGTCAAACATCACAGGGCAGGGTCTCTAGTTGCTTCTGGAAATACCGAGGGCTGTTCATTGGATGTCGAGTGCGTTTGAAGGCATATGAGGGCTATTGGTTTCATTTAGCCTTTTGAGCGTTTGTTGCATGTTTGAGCCTGTTAGTTCTTACCGAGTCCATCGGATCTGAGGGGGTTCACCAGCCCCAGGTGGAGCAACCCCCCCATGAACCAAACTGCGGTAGAATCTGCGCCCCCAGTTCCCCTGCCCTGCGCCCCTGCCCCCTGCTCCCCACCACGCGGAAGAGGTCAGGATTATTGGTCAATTTCCCTTACTTTCTTATTTTGGTGACGACGTCTGTGTCGCGAAATGTCTTAAATTGGCCGTGGCGTCGCTGACGTCGCTTCAAAACTGCACAGGTATATTCAATTTACATCGGTATGGCAATACGTCGGTCGGGAGGACATCCAGATATTATGCCGGAGCAGACAGCAATCCATCAGTCCGAAACGCGCACCGGGCTACGGCAGGAGCACGATGAGCACCGCAGAAACACGCTTCAATGCAGGACTGTGGCGGGAACGGTTTTGAAAACGGGTCCCGCCCATGGTGCACAGCGCTGTGGCGGGAGCAAGCTTTCGGGGGGCAGAGACGCAGCAATGATCTGCAATGCAAGGCTCGGGGGACGGAGCAAATTTGTTCGGAAATTTTCAGTCGGTAACCCTACCATAACCCCACACTGTTTAGGGAATAGTACTACGGGGTACACGGATGAAAGACAGGAAGACATGCCAATACTTCTCTAGCCAGCTTCAGTTTAGCATGGTCTGTCAGCCCTTTTGCAATCTGTTGCAGCAAGCACGAGGGGGCGTGCCTCGGTGGCTCCGGTGGATGTTCGGGCCTTCTGTGTGTCCTGGCACGACGACGAGCGTGCAATAGCGTGCACACACACACACACGCTCTCTCTCTGACTGATATATATATATATACATATATTATGTGTGATATGTATATACACATACATACAGAGTACACACACACATATATATATATATAAGAAGATGTTGAACTCCAACCATGTGGCAGTAGCTTACCATCTTTTTGTGTCCGGCATCCTTGCAGGACCTGTATGTTCCAATGGCAAGTATTGTAGTCGGCACCCCTTTAAATTTGGATGCAAACTCGAGTCTTCCTCCAATAGTTTGAAGTGGCTAATTAGGCGCTATCAGGAACACAGAACTTTAGCAAAGTCAATGTTAGAGGAAGACGCGAAGGGCGCGAACCCGTGGCTCGTCTGCCCTGGATTGCACTGGTGCGCTCATGCAGCACCGTGCTGCGTGCTCACGCACGCGACAAATTACAAAATGCAGCAGTACTGGACATCACATCCACGGGACCAGTCCTAACAAAGGGGACAACAAATCCTATGTGGACGTCGTTCAAAGGATTCAGGATTAAAGCCACCGTCACTTCGTGTTGGCCTGCTCTACATCAACCTTGAACCAGTGGCGAAGGGATCCTTGGGTTTGTTTCACCCCCGCATCCAGGCCAAGAAGCGCAAACACGTCGTGCAAGGTTTCTGCACAGGCTGAGAGCTCCTTCTTGTAGTCTGGATTTGGGCTGCCGAGAACCTCTTTGTCTGGATATCCAATTCCAGGGTCAGTGTTGACCTCGCACATCCAGACTTTGAACTTCTTGTCCAACATGAGGTCCATGCCAAAAATCTCGAAGTGACGGTCTGGCAAGACTTTGAATCGGCGTTGCACGGCTTTCCCGATATACAAAGCGGTGTCCGCCGCAATCTCCAAAATCTGCTGCCAAAAAGCTGTCTTGTCAAAGCTTGGGTTCATGCTGGTCAGGTGATTGATGAGCTGACGTATTCGGATCTGTTGACCCTTGCCAATGAGCGGCTTCTCCTTCAGGAAGTTTTCCTTGTTTTGTGGCGTAGCATTGAGGCCCATGTTGGTCACATGCACCGGTGGGTCGAAGTTCACTCCCAGAGTTTGATCGCTAACTCGATAGGGTTTGGTTGCGAAAAGGCATTGCCCGTTTTCCTGTACAAAAGCTTCCAGTGGAGAGAGGTTGGTGATGACCAAATGGATGCGCATGTGGAACTTATAGCCCCCAAGGAGCAGGGGATCGGCCAGGTACTTCTGCATGATGGAGCGTCCCGATTTGATTTCTTGGATGGTCCGCTTCAGAGCTTGATCGGTGCCCTTCCACACACAGATACCTGCACCCCCATACTCGTTGCGCGGCTTGCCAATCCAAAGGGCACTCTTGTTGACATTGACTTCTCGTAGAAAGCTCTTTCTGTCATCCGGAAGAACGAAAGTTGTGGGATACCATGCTTTGTCCTTGAAAGCCTTGGTGAAATTGGTCTTGAAGAGAATGCGCTCAGTCCCCGGGAACTTAGCAATCCGGTAGTTGCCAGGCTTGCCAGGCAGTCCCGCTCCGTGCTCCACAACCAGTTGAACGAAATCTTCCCTGGAGCGGCACTGATCCCTGGCAGTGCCCGGAACTCGAAAAGGCATCCGGCCCATCATCCAGAGAGCATGGCGGGGCAACCTGAGGGCTTGTAAGCGATACCCATCCTCAAGTGATCCGGTCTTGCCGAAGAGCTGGCATGGGCTCTTCCCTTGAAGGCATGCTTCAAACTCCTTTACATAGAAAGTGCTTGAATCGGTGTCTTCATCGTAAACACCATGGCACGGTGCTGTGCTGTATCGCCAGCCTCGTGCCCTCAAGACCTCTCGCAAAAGGGGCCCATAGTTGATCTCACAGTGGCCCTCGGTTGGGGCATCAAAAGCTCGCAGATCGCTTACTGGCCAAGGCTCTGCCACCGGAAGAGACGGGCGGCAAAGGTCGGTCCTCTGCTTCTTGCGTGGTAAACCGCACCATCTCCCCTTTCGCTTTCGAGTACCGCCCAAGCTCTGAGAGGCAGGACGCACCATGCCAGCCAGCCGACCCTACCAGTTGAACCTTGAGCCTTTGCGCAGCTGAGAAACAACTGGCCATGCTTGTCCTGCTTTCTTGTACCACTCACGGCACACAAATCGCACCCCTCGTCCTGCAGTGCCCTCGCCAGCAGAGAGACGGCATGCTCCTGCCCAGCACAGCTCGCAATGATCTATCTGTGCCCAGTTGTCTCTCGTCAGTACGGGCATCATCTTAAGATATCGCAGTCAGCCCGCTGCATGCTCTCCCCATCAGATTGGCGGAATATGGGAGAAGCTCTTAGCGTGCAGCCAGCTACACGCTGAAGGCTTCCAATCATTCACAGCATCAGACCGGCTTGCATGCAGACCGTTCTGCGAAGCTCTGGTCTTCTGTCAGGATTGGAACACAAAGGATCACAGAGGTTACCGGCGTCTGGACGGGCTCCATGCCTGAATTACATTGACCTCGAACGAGGTCACGCTTCTGCGAGGTGTGGCACGGGTCTGGGAAGGAAAGGTTTTAAAGTTTACTCTGCTTACTCTTGGCCGTTGGAAAGTCACTTCCTTGCATTCTTGAAACGCTGCCCTGACTTGGCGCGGTTCACACCGGTAAATGCTTCGGAGGCGTCCTTGTGCTTCCTGGCATCTTCCAGCTGATGTGTCAAGTGCCTCACTTCATCCTGAGATGCATCGAGTCTCAGATTCTCACATGCTCCGCCTCAAAGCTCATCGCGACATATTGTTACGTGGCCCTGGCCTGGGTTGGGTGCGGCCAAGGCTCGACCTCCATGCTGGCGTCCCCCGCTTGCATCGCCATGTAAACATGTTCCACGCGCCTCTTGGCGTCGTCGTACCTGATAACTGTGACATCCCACACCAAGCCAGTCGTCCAAAGACTACTAAGCCCATCGCTCGCTTTCGGTCTCCTGTTCCTCCGCATACCGAAGCTTCGAGCGGATGCTTTCACAGTCACGGGTGAGCAGTCCAATGACAGGGGTGCCTCCCGACTCGCCTTCTGGATTCGCCGCTGCGCTTCTGCTTCTTTGACCAATAGCTTGTCTACCTCTTATTTTGCAGAATCACGCAAGGATCATTTATTCATTCTGAACTTCGGGCCTTTCCGTCGGTTTGTTCGTTCGATGCTTCATAGGTCGCCTCAAGGTTTCTGGCAGTCTGCATCATCGCCTGGGCTCGTGGATGTTCAAACTCTTCATGGCAGTATGCACGCCCGCGCCCTGTGGGGTAGACCGCAGGAGTACACCGTCGAAGGGTGTGGTGGTGAGTGTGAGGTTATCGGTTTTTATGCAAGCCAAGTTGCTGTTGTTTGCTGGTTTACTTTGGACAACTTTACCTTGGCTGCAGCGACCCGGTGCTTTTCACCAATGATCGATCTGCTGGGAACATGATAAATAAAGGCACGCCAAGACGCAGCCTCTACGGCTTTCGCTCTGGTGATTGATGTGTGGAGGGCATGCATCTCCTGAGTTCATTGCACTTTGGCGCCATCTCTTCTTCCATTCTCTTCACTTCACTTCTGTTCTGCTCTCCGGGGCGAAGGGGACGAGTTTCATCACTTCACTTCTCTCTCGCTCGCTCTCTACCAGATAGGAAGCACAGGCAGCATCCAGGCCTGTACCTCGCGCGTGCGTGCACCCGCAGTCCACCAGGTGTCTAACCATACCCGCCTCTCTGGCCATGGGAGGCGTCTGAAGCCCTCCGGGCCGAAGGCCCACCAATGCTGTTTTCCACTCTGCTCCCTCCATTCTGTGTCTCTACCAGGTAGCGGAAGCCACATGCAGCACTCGCGTGTGTGTTCTCAGAACTTGCGTACATGGGAAAAGGACACCCCGGGACTGCCACCAAGATTCCAACATGGAATTTTAATGTAACCCTGTTTCTGCATCCCGACTTGCTGAACAAATTCAGGAACCACGCCTGTCAGAGCTCTTTTGTTGACCTGTGGCTGTGGGACCTATGCCCTACGTCAGTCAACACTGCAAGCACAACAGCAAGCCAGTTAAAGGCAAGATGACACAAAATAAACACGAAGCCTGAAGGCGTGGAGCAAGCTAATGCAAAGCTTTCCATCCGGGACCCTGTAATGTCGCCTGCACGTGTGAAGGTCTGTTTCGGGACAGAGAATGAAGCGACAAGGTCGGAGGTCCTCTCCCTTCCTAAAAAACGCCATCCGGCCCAGTGCGAGACATTCGACCTTCTTCCACACAGCCAAAGGAAAAGCGGACAGCCCTTCCGTCCGCGCGTGTGCGCGCTGGTCTCCACAGTCTCGGTGCGAAAAACTTCGAAAGTTGAGGCCGGTGGATTCACAACTGCAACACCGCCCTGTAGGAACACTAGTCAGTCAGCCCATCTCGACCTCTTTCTTTCACTTTCGACAGGGCTAGGGGCAGGAGGGCTGCCCCCCTCGACCTCTCTTCTTCCTTCGGGTTAGAGGGGCAAGTCACGCCCCCCGACCTCTCCCTCTCTCTCTCTCTCTCCCAGTCTCGGTCGCTAGTCCAGGCGCTCTGATGCAGATACAGGCTACCAGTTTAAGAAGTGTGCTGTTGCAGAGCCAGCGATGGACGACTCCGCAACGGCTGCAGTGTCTTGGACTTCTGCTTGGAGGCCTGCCGAGGGGATCGCTACTTCATGTCGGAGCTCATGCATTACACGAGTACGTGGGTTTCAGAATAACCACAACTCAGGAAATTTTCAGCTGAGGCGTGGTATTGAATCAAGCTCGACAGCTTCATCTGCCGCTCGTTCTGGTGCTTCTGCGCCTGCAGCCTCGCCTCCAAATCCATGACACTCAGCAGAGCGAGAGCGAGAGCGGGAGAGAGAGAGGGAAGGGAAAAGAGCGAGACGCACACACATACACACACACACAGAGAGAGGGAGAGAGGGTGTTAGTCACTGGTCATTTTCGGTACGTCTCGCCGCGTTCACTTGAAAGTGGAGCCTTTGCAGACGACTGTAGAGATTGCAGAGCCGCCGTGTTGTGGCTCCTCTGGTACATCTCCAACTCCCTTAGATGCATGGCACTGTTTTGCATACAGAAGATGCATGGCTGTCGACAGGCTGTTCAAGCAAAGATGACAGCGATGGCGAGGCGAGGCAACACACTCACCAAATCAGACAGAGGGGCGCAGTTTCCTGTGAAGCGGCGCGGCTTTCCACCTGCACCATGATGCAGATGCACAGGCAAAGCAATGCATGCAGCATGTGCTTAGTTAGTCACAAGTAGCATTCCTTAGCCCTGACGTCTGTGCAGGGTCTGTGTGCTCTGGCATGCTGTTGGATGCCTCTTGGAGCTTTGCAGCCAACTCGGCCTTCACAGCTGCAGTCTCCCTTCGTGCAGCCTTGTGTCATGCGATCGCTTGGCACACCAAGGCCAACAAGGGCAAGAAACAAGCAACAGCTGCCTGGATCTGACCGGATGCAGCTGATGTCTTCTCCTAGCCGCAAGGCCGCGCTGGCAGAATGCTTGGCAGAATGCATCACATCAGGCTTTTGACCAGGCCCTTGAGGTCCTGTACTTGGCTCTGCTGCAACAAGGCCTGGTGCTTTGTCTTGTGCAGCTTCTCCTGCTCCAAAGCACAGCGCACGAATCCACTGGCACCGCCGAAGCCGCCTTGGAGCGATCAATGTAGCCCCTCAGTGTCGACATCACGTCCTGCAGATCATGCAAGCTCTCCAAGGCCTGGTGTGATTAGCAAACCAAAACATTCTGACCTCGACCTGGTCTTCACTGGAAGTGACGTTCTGGCGCAACGTGTCCAGTTCGGTCGCCTTTCTCTCCAGCTTCTGCCTTATTGCATGGCCATGTCGCGATTACAGGAGAAACAGATGCGGCACCTTCGGCGGCAATGACTGTCTTGCCGGCTGAGGCACAGCAGTACCGTCACGTTCTTGCTGCTCGCCTCCATGTCCTCCAATGGCGTGTCACATCTTGCCGATGCTGTAAAACTGCTATGCTGCTTCCGATCATGATGCTGACCGCTCGTCGTCTTTCTACAACAGACCAGAGCCATCACAAGCGCGCATAGCCACCGCAAATGAAGCTCTCCTTCTTGATTCGACCCTCGAGGCTGGCCGTCTCCTCATGCAGAGATTCCGCCTCGTTGTGCTTCTGGGCAAGTTCCTGGGACAGGATCGACGGGCTTGAGACCAGTCGCGCATAGAAGACGCTCGACGTCGCCGTCACTGCCAGTGATGTTTCCCAAAGGGTTCTGCTATGGCTATATCCCCTAGCCTTAGCAGTAGAAGTTCTAGTCGTCGCCCTAGTAGTAGTCGTAGCAGCAGTAGCGGTAGCAGTAGCAGCTGTAGCAGGAGTAGCAGTAGCAGTAACAGTAGGATGAGTGGTAGTAGTAGTCGTCGTCGTCGTCGTAGTGATAGCAGCAGCAGCAGCCGCAGCATGCTGCTGCTGCTGCTGCTGCTGGTGTCGCAACGTCTTCATCGTCGTGGTCGCATTTTTTCGCGGCCGCTGCAGTACCACCACTGCCGCGGCGACCGGTCTTCAAGCATACTCACGCACCATAGTTCCTGCTACTTGCACAACATACTGTTTCCACATTTCTCCACATCTCAAAAATCAGGACTTCCAACTCCGTCCATGCCGTTTTTTGTCTTAACAGACCCCGGGCTGCAAAATGATTTCCGGGCAGAGCACCTTGTTCAGAGTGATGACCTTGGCATGCACGTGCTTCAGCTGATCCTCTTTGGAGGCCAGGTTGTCGGTGAGGACAGTCGCCTGGCAGGGCCGGTGCTTTCGGCTTGTCCAGCCTAGGTCTTTGTGACGCCTGCCTGGTGTGTCATATCCTCCACACGGCGTCGCTCAGCCTTTTCCGAATGAAAAAAATGACCGGCAGTCGGGGGTTCCACAAGATACTCGCAACATCCCATCCGTCCTGGAGCTCAGTCTTCTCTTTCTGGAGGAGAAGGGTGCCTCGTGATGCTGTCTACAGACTCTGCTCAATACTGCGTTGTCTGTAATTTAAAGCTGTATAACTCCCACAGCCAGCAAAACCTATTCGATCGAATGATTCCTCCTCCAAGCAATCTCTCAACTCTTTCGGTCTCTCGACCCATTGAGAACGTCTGCTGACAGTGGCTTCAGGCGATGCTGCTGAGTGACTGTTCCCGATGGCAAAGTTCAGTTGTGCAAGCTCCTCCTGCTTTGACAGCATACGTTGCTGCTCACCACGGGCCAATTGACGAGCACGATGGGCATGTGTGCTGGCCGACCTCTTCGCGAGGTCTCGAAAGATTATGAGCACTCTAGACACAAAAAAAGCACACTGCAGGGGGTTTGGTGATAATCGAGCGCCTGCTCTGCACCTTCTCTTGCAAGAGTGCTTCCGTGTTGGCTGCCTGCCGCTCGTCCTTCAAAGGTCTGGTCATTTTTCTGACACATAGCTTGGTGAGCAGTAAGATTCCATGTCAAGGGCCTGGGAAAGGGGGGCTGCCTCCTGCTGAGCTCGTTGTACAGCCAACCTTCGGCAACGAGTTCAGGAGGATCTACACTGATTCGGCCAGCTGGCTCGGCACAAGACTCGAGGACAGATCCGCGGAACTGCCGAGCCGGTAAGCTGCGCACTCTGCTGAGGACAGGTTCTGCCTGATCTTCTGAATTTCGGACCTCGCCAAATCGAGAGTCTTGTCCGTGCTTCGCTGTTGCACGAATACCTAGAGGCAGCACCTGAAGTGCATCTCTTGGGCATGCAGGCTGCTCATCTCCTGAAACGATGAAGGCACGCTCAGAAGAACAAGAGCACAGCTTGCGAGGCTGAGCTGGCATACTATGGCCATCCGCATGCAGTTGGATTAAAAGGCGTCCAAGGCTCCGCAGCTTGTTGCTTTGCCCGACTTTCCGTGACAGCTTCCAGGTCCTCAGACATCTAATGTCTTGCCATCAGGCCGCGGCAGTGCCAGGCGCGCTGTGGACCCGATTCGCAAACGGAGCCTCGTTCAACGAATGCTCCAAGCTGAGCCTCAGAAGAAGCAATGCCACTGACGTTTATCCTCCTCACTTGGGACCTGAGCCTTTTCTTGCTGTTAGGCAGCAGTCCAATGGATGCCTGGTCTTCGGCCTGAAGAGGTTTCAGCTGCTTCGCCTGGCGTGCGGCGAATCTCTGGTGAGCTCGGCTGGTTACGGAAAAGTCCATGCACAACTGCCTCGAGGATCACTGTACCTTTCTCCTTCTCCTCAGAGTTGTGAGGAATTCGGACAAACCGCACTACTGAGACCCAAACAACCAGTGCTGTGAAGGAATCTTGGCATCTTGCCGCGGACTGCAGCTCTGCATTGAGCTCTTTCAGCCTCTTTAGCTGCACCGTGAGCTTGCCAGCCTTTGTCTTTTTCTCCTCGTCACCATCTCATGGCATGAGAGCCACCGCCCAGGAGTCAAACAAGGAAGCGCAATGTGAGCGAACATGGCAACTCATTGCAAGGCGGTCCGAAAGCTTCTTCGACGTCTCTGACTGCTGCTTTTGGACCTGAGGCTCTAGCGCCGGCACGAGAACACAGCGCCTGCCTCATGAAGCTGAAGGTTATAGGGCAGCAGCCATCGCCAGGATACGTCTCTCAGCGTTGAGCTCTGATTTTACTGCCTCGGCAGACTCAGCTGCAGTGCATGGCATCAGCACAAGAGTAATGATCAATCTGAGTTCTGCTTCAATGTCAGATGCACAGGGAATTACAGGGCCCGCGGCTCGAAGTTGATTCGCCGCACCGCGACTCAGTGCAGACGCAGGTGCGGGCGATGCCTCAAAAGAACACAAACTGGCATTGACCAAGACGTCGGAGGCAAGCAGGGCCAAAGAGAGATGCCTTCTGCGCTTCATTGAAGGAGGTGCCCAGGACCAATGCCAGAGCAAGAGTCCGAAGCATGGCCTGTCTGCTGCTCCGATTCACTTTCGGCACCAAGGCGCAACAGCGCCACAAAACATGTAAATGGTGCAGCTGGGACACAACAGCTTGCGTCATGGGAGCTGCGGTTCACGCTAGTATCATCTAGGTGTTTTACAACGGCACGTTGAAGTACGAATGCTGTGCTTAATCCGCTTCAACAACATTCCATTTTACGCTTTACCCCGTCTCAATTGCTTGTGCGCTGCCGATCTTGCATCTTGCAAGCTGCTGGAGCCCTTCAGCAGCAAAACCACTGCACTAACAGATCCTAGCAGCTCCTAGCAAGTGCACCACTGCCGGAAAGCAAGCTCCCCAAGCTCCACAGACTGAATGCACTTGCAGTCTGCATGCACGTGGTACGGCTGGCTCAGTGTATGACTGAAAATGTCTTCAGCTTTCCTTCCACGCCTGCTGAAGCAGATGGCCGCTGCTTTTCAGCACAATGCAAGTCTACAGCCACTATATATCAACGGGAAAAAACCGTTTAAAATCCATCTAAGTTCACGGCGCCACTCGAAGGCATCTTTTCCGAGGCTGTCCGTGAGCATATCGATATCAACCTGCCAATTGTGGGGCATATGACTCCTGACATCCTGACAGACGTAGCCCTGCCATGCTATTGTGACATCAAGGTAGCAGGTAGCTCAGAGTAACATAGTAGCTCTTCTTCCAAAACCAACGACTTGCCGTCGCCACCGCCCAGCTTGCTTCATGGAGGGATAAGCCTCTGGGACACGCAGCCGTCCCCTTGAAGAAGCGTCCCAAACATCCGAGAGCCAGACTCAACAGCTGTCGTCTCTGCTGCTGCGCCTGCCAGAAACGCCGCGATGTTCAGCATCGGATTTCTCTCGGCGAACTTCGCGAACAATGTTCCGAAATCGTCTAGAGCGGCATCTTCTTGGAGATTCTCGGTCTGGCAGCTGCTGTACTGAATGTATGACGAACAATGACGAGCGGGACTGCAGATCACGAAACCCCATCATCTGAATCCGTTCTGAGCCCACCTCGTCGAAACGGTCATCCACGAGGTCCACGGACATCTTGCCAGTGGCGAGCTCAAACCTGCAAGAGGCACAGCCTTACAGTTCTGTCCTTGGGCAGAATTGCACAAAAGAGCCATTGACACATGCTGGACTCCCAGACCTGATGGTGTGCCGACCAGCTTCCGAGCTGAAAATGGGCTTGCACGCTTCATCACATCAAGATACTTGGAAGACAAAATCAACAGATTACACGCCGAGAGCCCAAGGCTCGCAACAGCTCGTATCTCGGCTTGGAAAGTGGCTCTCAATTCTGTGGCGATGCATAACGAACCCTCTCAGCCAGGCTTGCAAAGGGAAAAGTAACACGACTGCATTGCTTGCTGCATTGTCGTGAGCCTCATGAATTGGCAAACTGGGCTGCTGACTTAAGTCGCTGTGGCAAATCCACGGCCTAGGTGAGGGGCAACCTTGAGCTGATGAGGCACTGAAGACACCCGCCTCCAGCTTGGAATCCTCATGGCCGCAATGGCCATCACGCGACCTGTATCACGGGCTTATGAGATTTCTGGAAAATGGCTGGACAGACTGGTGACGCATGAAGACGGATCGCTCAGATCTCTGCGGGTTTCCCCTGTCGTTACAGTCTCCGGCATTTGGCTTCTCTGAGTCCAACGGCATCTGCTCGCTGCTCGAAGCGCCGTCTTTGACCATGTCCAACCTTGAGCCCGCATCGCCAAGCAACGTTGCTCTCTCCGGCCACCTTCTGAGGTTATCGCGAAACCTCCGAGCTGTCTACCTGCTTTCAACTCTCAGCTCATTCCGCGAAACGTTTTAATGCTCAACGTTCGCGTTGTACACGCAGATTGAGACATGCTTTTGGACTTGATTGGCAGTATTCATGTACTGCTTGAATGTGCAGCTCCTGCGGGACCCTTCTGCCGCTAGGATGTCACTGAGCATGCACGTACACGGCATGCTTCCTTCGGTCCACACAGAGGTGGGCATCGACAGCCAGCGAAGTGATCGTGACTGGCTCAAGGCAGCGCTGGCACCGGCGGAAGCGACAATACTTCTGAACTCTGTAGGATGCAGCTTGAGACTTCCACTGCTTCCGTCTCCTAAGCCTTGCATTACGATCATTGCGCCACTCTTGGACCGCCTTGCTGTGGACGAGCAATTGCTGCCGTGCCAGAAGGCGCACTGACAGTGCATCCTGGATTTCACTGCTCGCTTGTTTCTACCTCCTCAAATCCTTCTCGTTTCGCTTGCTCCTCCAGGTGCTGGAAGCGCTGCAGCTTCTGCGGGAGAGGTTGCGCATCCTGCGCTGGCCTCCAGCAGAAACTGCTATGATGGACTCGGGCGACAGCAAACGCGCCCGAAGCTCACCCGGAAAACACTTCTGGGAGCCCTGCAACTGCATCCTGTGCTTCAGTATCTCCTCGTACAGGCTGCCATACCTCGCGATGCACGGAAGCCGGGAGGGACCGGTTGCGGAGGACTTTGGGGCCATGACTCCTCCAGTGAAGCCTTGATATCCTCAAAAAAAGAAACTGCGCTATACAGCGATGGAAGCGGTGCGCTGCACAATGCCGGATGCCCGCCTGGTGCAACAGCTCTTCCTCCTCCCGCGAGACCATTATGCGATACAGCGCCGAGGCCTGAGGATGGCAGCTTGGTGCAACCACTGGACATGAAGCTTGAAGACTTGAACTACTTTTTCTCGAAGCCCACGAATGAATCTTGAAGAGGTTGGGCTTCCAAAACTCCCTTTCTGCATGCTACCTGCGTGCCACCACTAGTTGGCACAAGACAGCGCATGCACCGCCGAGTCATACCAAGACAGGGGCAGAAGCGGCTGCACTCGCCCAAAGCAGCAAGGAGTGCCTCATAGAATCCAACTCGAGGATGGCCAGTTGCGCCGAGCATGCACAGTATGAGGGACATGCGCACACACACACACACCCCTGCAGAACTTCTAACTTCCATTTCTGGGAAAAGCACGCCACTTGCGAACGGAGGATGGACAGCTCTATCACCTGGAGGCTGCGAGACACCTTGCCCTTTTGTATAGTGTGACTGATGAAGCAGAAAGTGGACGCGCAGAGTGTCCAATGTGCCGCCATTTTGAAGCTTGCTCGGCCTCCTGAGTCGCAACTTCGAGGCGAAGACACATCGTCTGATCCTCAGATCACGACACTCGCGATACTGCTTCTTCTTCTTCTGTTCCGCTCGTTGGTGGGGCTTTCGGCAGATGTCGTGCATAGCTTCACGCATTGAGTCTCACACGGGCAAATCTAGGGCGTCGTCATGATTCGACTTTCAAAGGGCTGACCGATGCCACATCGAAAGGGTGTATAGAGTCTGGAAAGAAGGTACTGAGATGCGGACGCTGGGTACATGAGCCAGCTTCAAGCGCGCACTGATAGGGCCTACAGGGCACATCATATGGCAAAGACAAGAGTATGAAGGTTCGAGGGCAGTCTACAGGGATCTTGCCCAAGCTCCCGGCTCAAAGCGTAGCCTGCCCGGACATCATCGTCACACCCACTGTTGGCACGAAGATGGCCATGTTCAGCTTCTAAACGCAAGACGCCATGCCTAGCCTGCATCTGACAAGGAGAAACTCCCGGCGCGGGACACCAGAACTCCCAGACCTGGCAGGAGCTTTCGTGATGTTTCCTCACGACCACCTAACACCTCCTGCAAGTCTACAGAACAAGCACCGTCTCTGTTTTAGGGACTACATGCGAACAGAAGACAGTACCGGAGTTGGACGGTGTCAGAACTAGCAGTCGTGGGTGTGGTCCTTGCTTTAAAAGGTAGCTGGGCACCCGTCGATCAGCTAATTAGGCGGGCTTGCCGGCACATTTCGGGCTCTTGCGACTGCTCTCCACCCCATGGAGAGTTCGGAACTTCAATATGTTGGTTTTCTTCTCGTAATGCTTCGTGTTCCTTTCGGAGATTGCAGAGCGCCGGGCACTTCAAGAAGGAGTGCGGCTATCCCCAACAATTTTCGTCGGTCATGACATGAAGGAAGCATATAGACTCGGGAAACTGCCGGTGCGGAGCAGGAGGTCTACCGAGAATGCTCTTTTCTTCCGTGCGCTGCATGTCCTGGTCCTCTAAGCCGGGAGACTGTCTTGTGCCAGTCCCCGGGCCGTGCAGATGACTCTTAAGGCAGACGATGTTTCACATCATCTCCAACCGGAACCGAAACATCAAAATCGCTTCTGCAAGCGCAGCAGGGCTTGGGTAGTGCCTGTCTTCCGTCACCGTTAAGAACAGTGTTTCGAAAAGGAACTGAGAGCTCATACCTACAGGACTCAAGAAATCCCCCCGTTGTACAATACGCGTCTTCTCCCCTACAGTGCACTTCTGCTCCTTGCTGCGGTGCGATCCACCACTGCTGTGTCTTCGTCTCTTCGCCTCGCGGAGATTCGGCTCGCCTCCGAAAGGCCACAGGGAGCCGTGTGCAGAGCTCTGCGAGTGCCACGCAGGTCAGCTGTGGCACTTGACTTTGGGAAGGCTTTCCACTCTTACTCGCTTCCAAATGTAGTGGGAGCAGAGAACCAGCCCAAATCACTAAACTTGACTGTGAAACAGATGCGCGGCATCTGAGAATGACTAAACATGTACTGTTCAGCTGTCCAACTCTTGGGACATGCATGCAGATGAAGCAGTGTCGGACTGTCCTGAAATTAATTGTTCGACCTCTGCGGTAGGCACCCGTGCATGGAGCAACCAGTCTACGTGAACGAGACTATATGGATGTGGGCTGGCCAGTGCCGCGGTCGGAGTGCGTGGCAACCTACTTTCTGTGGCAAGCGGTTGAATGGCCAATGGACACCTTCTGTGTCCAGATTGAAAACGTGAAGCTGGTGTGATGGTCACAATTGTTGCACAAAGGAGCTCGACAGACCTGAAGCAGCCATCGACTTTCTGAGCATCCTGTTCGTCTCCTGTCACAACACAGCTATCCGCTATGCACGTCATATCATATCAGAGATTATATCAGAGTATACATGCGCGCACACACACACACACACGCATGCAGGCATACACGCATGCATGCCACGGTAATTAGAAACAACATGAGCAACCACCGTAGATTAATGCATCATGCTTGCAGCCAGTCTAGTCTATTTCCCGCTTGCCGGCAGTCCTTCCAGTGAGTCTGCACGTCGCTGCTAGTTGACTTTGAGACAACTAACGAGGATCGCAGCATGGATAGATTCCCTCCTTGGCACATCGACCAAGGTCTGACTGTATGGAGACCGTCGTCACTTCTGGGGCCGGGGCCGGCCAACGAAAGCAGCTAGCCGTGATGATGGTGATGGTGATGATGGTGGTGATGACGACGTTGAAGGCGATGATGATGGTGGTGGTGATGATGATTATGATGATGGTGATGGTGATGGTGCTTCTGGTTATGGTGGTGGCTATGATTTTTTGCCTTCCGCCTGACCGTGGTGATGGTGGTGGTGATGCTTGTGCTGGGTGCTGGTGCTGGTGCCGGTGGTGCTGGTGGTGCTGGTGGTGCTGGTGGTACTGGTGGTGCTGCTGCTGCTGCTGCTGCTGCTGCTGGCGGTGGCGGTGGCGGTGGCGGTGGCGGTGGCGGTGGCGGTGGCGGTGGCAGTGGTGGTGGTGGTCAAGGTGATGGCCATGGTCATGAACCAAATGGTTTTACTGCAGCCACAAAGCTGCAATCATCTTCAAGCATGTCGAGGGAGGTGAGGGAGGAGGCGCCATGATAACAATGATGACACCAATAATTCCAGCGCATGTGCAGGACGGCTTACTGTGAAGAGTCGCCATGCATGCATCCGTTCTTGACTTGCACACATGCTTGAGATTTCTGAGGCCACATCTTTCTGCGAGAATTGCAGCTGCACAGGGCCGCTGGTCGAAGGGTACGCAAAGAATCTCCTGCAAGAAACTGGATTTCACGAATCAGCAGAGCGACGCTCGCTCGGCTCTGCTCACTGCATTCTTCGTTGCTCTCCCCGCCCAGCAGGTCACTGCTCACAATCCGTCACGGGTCGATTGCTCGCTCCTCCAATTTGCCTTGTCCTCGAAAGTCGTAGTCCGTAGCAATTCCTGTGCTCTGCGCACAGCGCAGCAGAGGCACTCAGATTCTAAATAATACGAGTTCAGGGCTCAGCCCGAGCTTGTGGTCCCAAACCCAAATTAACAAGCACCCCCACAAGCAGCCATGCGTCCTGCAGTGAGCTCCAGCGCCTGCAGGGTCTCACAGACTCCAGAACCGCCGCAGAAAGACAGCTGCAAAGTATAAGACCTGCGAGCCGTGCGCAGAAACAGCCTCCAGCGCTTTGCGGAAGTCGTCTGATGGCAATTCACCGGAGCTGGAAGGAGATCCTTGAAGCGACAGGAGATGCTCCGAAGCAGACAGGACTATTCGAGGCACCTGTGGCGACTGTGCTGATGCTCTGCACGGATAGCGAGTCCGCAAGGCTTGCAAGCCAGGAGCCCAGCTCCTGTGGCCACGTATGTCTAGGAGACCTTTATGCTCTTCGAGGCCCTCTAATGCCCTCTAGACTCTAGATTGAAATTCAGCGATTCCTACGTCGGCCTTGGAAAGTAAGGCGTGGCCGACACTGTCAGTACTATATATCAGCAGTTACTATCACTCTGTACCTATTCATCGACAGCCTGCGGCCCACCGAAGCGCGGAGGAGCCAACGTTTGCAAAGTGATTGCCTGAGTAGAAAACCGACGCGACACGACCGCTTCAACGTTGCTCGGCTCCGAACCTCGTAGAAGGTGGCACCCACCGACCACATGTCCGAAGCTGCAGAGGTGCGCTGCCACTTTGCCACCTGCGGCGCATCGACTAGACCTGCTACAACTCCATCCTCCAGCAGTTTTAAGGAGTCAGCTTTGCTGAGGGAGCGTTTATATGCCGTACTGGGCTAGGAGCTCGTCCTGCCTCAGGGGCAGAGTACAGAGGAGTAGTGATGGGAGCCTCCACAGATGCGTCCTGGCGGCGAGCAGGGCTCATTGGCAAAGCCGCAGAGCCATTTTTTTGGAGCCTCGCCTTGCGGGGGTGAGGCCCCTTGCCAGGTAGACGCATGGCACTGCCCAAGTCACAAATCCTCAACTGCACATGGCACTTGGGCAAAGCCGCAGCGGCATGGTGAAATGCAAGCAAGCACTCTGCTCTGGCTCGCAGATGCTCGCAGCTCCTAGCTGAATGCGCCAAGCCTCTGAAGGCACACGCCTCCTTGCCCAAGGAGCAAGTTGTCCTTGGAGCGAGGTGCAAGCAGTCCAGTCATGTCCAGTCTCAGGACCAAGGAGTGGCTATCGACGCCTGATTTGCACACGACGGCTTGACTGATCTGGCAAGCATCCGGCTTGATGTCTCTGTGCAGCACTCCCTGCAAATGCAGGTAGGCCATGCCATGGAGGCATTGAAGATACCAGGCTCCCAAGTGCTTCTCACCTCAGTGGGATATGTGGCCGAAACATGAAAGCCGCAAGTCTCTGCGGCCGCGGCGTATGCTAAAGCTCGAGGTGCTTCGTGTCAGAGGGTCCATGCCTGAGGGTGTAAATGTGCTTTTCAGAGCGGTGCCCAGGACAGCTTCGCTACACGGCCTTCTGCATCAGGCAGAAGGGCTTGAGAGATGCGGCTCTTCAGAGACCCACCTTCCATGAATGGCATTACCTTGTCAGTACGAGACAAGTTTTGACTGGCACAGCAAGCAGGTTGCTCTCAAAGCAGCTGCTGGACCCTGGCTTTAATTGGGCGAAGATGCCATATAGTGCAGACGCTGCTGCCTGCCAAAAAATGAAACAGCACTGGGGGGCATTCACTTCTCGACTGCATACTGCAGCAAAGCCCGTGCCTGTTCTCCCAAGCTGTAGTCAAGGAAACGATCGTTGGCCACTCAAGTTTCTGCATCAAAGCAACCTGTAGCAAACCAAATTCGCAGCCTGGCTTTCACTCTTGCAGCATGAGAGCTGTCCCTCTGATGCCGATGCGAGGCCTCTTGCAACAGGCTTTGACGATCCTTTTCACGAAGAAGCCGAGTCGGCACCTCCTGGAGGGCTGACCACAGCCGCACATGCTGATGTCCATACCAATCCCTCAAACATCAAATCTGCAAGCCTTCATGGCGAACATTCGCCCGTCTCGGAGGCGTTTTACTCGATGCACCACTCCAGAAGACCCTCTGCCCAGAGTCTCGCAGACCAGGAACTCCTGTTCGGCCACACGTTCAGGAGAGTTCTTGCGATGCCACCCCTGAAATGTTAGAGAAGTTGACTTCAATGGCAAAGAGAGTGAGCTGTAGTTGCGAAGATCGCACTAGACGCTAGAAACCATGTGCAAAGCCGGTAGTCCATGCAAGTGGTGGCGGCAGCACTGAGCACCGAAAACGGCACCAACTCTGTGCGCAGCTTTACTCTTGCAACGCTACTGTAAGCCCCGTCTGACTGCAGTGGCCGAGTCATTGTCTGCTGAGTATTGGGTAACATTTCGACAGCTTCCCTGTGGACCCCGTGGGTCGGCGACCTCGGCCCATCGTCGCTGCAAGGCAGCTTCTGCTGTGCGTCGCACGTCTTCCAGCGATAGCGGGTGTAGCAAATACTCCCGGATGCCTGAAAGGGTCGGATCTTGGAGAGTCAGTTTGAAACCAAGCTCGCATTGCCAACCCTGCGTGCCTCGCTCCTTCAGCAGGAGGCGAATTTGGTCGTCACTGGAAGCACAAAGCTCACTGCCGACCTAATGACCAGTCAGGCGTGGAATCTTCTGCAGCTGATTGCAGCTGCTTGGACTCTCTCGCGAAAAGGGTGAGGCATCAAAAAAAAACTAGACCGGAGAATCAGAAAAAAAACTAAAATAAGCATCAAAAAAAACTTAAGCATGAACATAAGCATCAAAAAAACTTCAGCACGAA